TCATGCAACTCCCTATGTTTCGTTCTATTTCGGAAATCCAAGAGGAATTTAATTGCATATTTTATTTGAATGATGAGTGTATTAATATTAATCAATTTAATATATCTTTTCTTAATATCATTGACTGGATAGTCATTATCTCTCACTGGAATGTGAATTAATAACTAAAGTTAAACACATTTTATTGATTTAGGACATAAAGACATCTGCCTTATTCTTTATGAAAACACCTAAGGTGCTAATAGAATAAAACTGAGGGAGTATTTTTCTCTAGACTAAAACTTAAAAGTGTAACTGTAACTAGTTCAGGTACTTGCTTAAAGAAGAGCATTTACCTTTACACATACGGAGAAATTGCAGATTTGGTTTGTGGTTATAACTTTTATTTATACTTGAATTGTGATTTTAGTACAATGAAAATGGTATTTTATGATATATTTTTCTTTCCACAGTTGCTGGAATAATACATCAATTTATTATTAATACATCATAACTGTGGCATGTCCTATCAGAAGTCATGATTTTTGTCTACGCTAGTTACTGTTCTTGTATCTGACAAGAAATTTGCATAATGTGTCCTCCATTTTCCCCCACCTCTATTCTTCTAACTGGTGAATCGTGAATCAGCTCTTGGAAGAGGAGGTAGAGGTTCCAGTCGTAAAAGAGCCGGCGAAGGAGGGTACAAAGATGGAAACAGATGAGCCTCCTTCTGCTCCTCCTAACGCTGCTGAAACCGATGTTAATATGCAAGATACTAAAACGGATGGTGCTGGAGACAATAATGGTGTGCCTGACTCTGGAAACAAATCAGCTCAGATGGACACAGATAAAAAGGTTAGCTTTAATACTACAGATGTAGTGCTAAACAGTTTTAAATACGCATGTTTCTCTTCTGTTTCTACTTTATATCATGCAGCAGAACATATAACTTCTCTGCCCTCCTTTTATTTGTACTGATTTTGATAACGTGTTTTACCATTCAATTCTGGTTGTTTGTGTGGCTCGTAAAGTAAATGACTTGCATTTGGCTTGGTTATACCCAACATTCGTGTAGCTTCTCTACACTTGCAAATGGGCTAAGGGTGCTTCTGGGAGTTGTAGCATATTCGTTTTTTTTTCTTGGTTAGAGATTAGTGCTCTTTATTCTTTGTTAATTCGGCAAAATTATAAAATATGCTCAGTAAATTGGTGTAGATGACAAATATATCCCGTAACTTCGGCGGTTATAGAAAATGCCCTCTAAATACTAAAAATCAGGCACAGTATGGTAAAGTTGTGAAGTTAAATTGGGGTAGATGACAAATTTGTACAATTACTTCTGTGATTATAGAAACTGCGCACTAATTTGCAATTTTACCTATTAATCTTTTAGTGAGTGAATTTGAGGTGAAAAAAGAATGTAATTTCAAGTTAATTTTCAGGTAAAGGGAATATTTGTATAGAAAAAATTTGATGGGTAATGAATAGAAAAAAATTTGTTGTGGAATATACGTATATGAACTCAATTCAGAATGAGAAGCATATCAATTGCAACTCACCCTTAATATGTATCCTCTTCATACTAGAGTCTGGATGTATTATTCCCAAAGGGTTTCCACACCAAGTTTGCTGTTCTGTGTTCATCAGGTTGAAGCTCCAAAGAAAAAGGTTAAGAAAACCAATGTACCTGTCTCGGAGATTATATATGGTGGGTTGTCAGCTGCCGATGTGCAAAAAGCTGTAGAGAAGGAGTTTGAAATGGCTTTGCAGGATCGGATTATGGAGGAGACCAAGGACAAGAAGAATGCGGTTGAGGCTTATGTTTATGACATGCGGAACAAGGTATGCATGAGTTTCGATGGCTTTGCAGATAGTATTTTAACTCTTTTGACACTCACAATTTCTCTGTCTGCAGCTTCATGACAAGTATCATGAGTTTGTAACCGAATTGGATAGAGAGCAAGTTATTGCCAGACTGCAGGAGGTGGAAGATTGGTTGTACGAGGATGGTGAAGATGAAACAAAAGGGGTCTATATTGCTAAGCTGGATGAGCTCAAAAAGGTGAGTGTTCTGTTTTTGGCTTTCTGCCTTTGCGTTCATTTCCTAGTTTTAAGTGATCGTCACAAAAAATTGTCATTACGTTTGGTTTGCCTCAATTGTGGATTACCTCAACTATCCACTAAAAGTTTCTTTCCCGCCTCTATTCTCTCTCTCTCTCTCTCTCTTTTTTTTTTGTTTACTATTTTTTAAATCTTCGGACATGCATTTTTTTTAATTATAATATTTATTGAGACGACTATTTAATTTACTTTGGCATTATATATAATTATGTATAGCTAGGTGACCCTATAGAAGAGAGGCACAAGGAGCATACTGAGAGAGGAGCAGTCATTGACCAACTCACCTATTGCATCAACAGTTACAGAGAAGCTGCTGCATCGAGTGATCCCAAGTTCGATCACATTGATCTTGCAGAGAAGCAGAAGGTATATATTATCTGAGCCCTAATAATTAATCTCTTTTTGATCCCACTGGAAGATCTGAAGGGCACCAATCGGAAATTCGTAATTGGGTTTGTTTACTATTTCTATGTGATCTTTAAGTCATTTGTGGTTCACTCTGTTCAGGTCCTGAACGAATGTGTGGAAGCTGAAGCTTGGCTGAGGGAGAAAAAGCAGCACCAGGATACCCTCCCCAACTATGCCACACCGGTTCTTTTGTCTGCCGACATTAGGAAAAGAGCCGAAGCTCTCGACAGGTAAACATTTGTGTTTGTATGCCAGTTCTATTGAGGGGTTTATATGTATGGCATCTGTGTTATTACATGTACACTTTATACCAACCAAGCATGTGAAGCCATAACTGATGGACGCAAGGATATTTTTATGGTGGTGAAGATATTAATTAGCTGCTGAGAGTTATTATAAACTTTAATCCTTATTCCAACGGATACGTACAAAAGCTAATCCAAGGTTGTAGTCTTGATTACCACAAAGCCCAGTTTTATTAACGTTGCTATAAAATACCCTCTGGAGTATAAACCACCCCTTTAGTTTTGTCGATCTAAGACAAGCTATATATGCCTCCACAGGTTTTGCAGGCCAATCATGACGAAACCAAAGCCCACGAAGCCAGCCACTCCCGAGCCACCAGCCCAAAGTGGAGAGGCTCATTCGCAAGGGACAGAAAATGCCAGCCCGGCCCGGAGTGCCAGCCCAGAAGACAATGCTGCAGGATCTGAAAACCAAGCACCACCAGCTGAGGCAGAGCCCATGGAGACAGACAAACCGCAGACAACACAGACTTAGTAATGAGTTGGCGAATGATCAATATTTATGGCGATAAGGAAATGTTTGGTTTACTTTAATGCCGTGGAGATTTGAAGTTTGGACTTAATTTTTTGAGCTGTGTGCTTTTCATGAGATGCTTGTGGATGTGTTGGTTTTGGACTTAGTTCCATAATATATAAATATATAGGTGAGTTTCATGCCTCTATATTTTATTTATTTATTTTATTCCAGCAAAGGAAGGTTTTGTAAGGAGTTTCATGCACCTCGTTTGGTTTAGGGATGGATTATGGATATCGGATGCTCTTTTTTGTGCATCTTTTTGAAAGGTATTGATGATGTGATACCCATAAATGCATATAGGGCTTGACCAATTAAATTGGTAGAAAATTGGATTTATTTTCAGCACTATTTACTTGTCTACCAACGACAAACGAAATTGTCATATTTACATTATAAATTGTAATGTTTATTGTTTTACGTATAAAAAGTGTATATATTTGAGGAAAGAGATAAAATTCAGTAAGTATATTCTTTAGTTTTCCCACATTTTTTTTTTTTGGCGGATGACACCATTTTTTTTTACCTAAGCTGATAATAGTCAAGCCTCGATTCTTCTTGATATCCTAAAAAATTATCAAACTATTGTTGGTCAAAAAGTGAATCGAGGAAAATTATCTATTTTTTCAGTAAAGAACATTTCTCAGAGAATCCAAATCCAAATATGTCAGTCTATCTTCTGTATCATTGCTCAAACCTAAGTATTTAGGGTTACCCTTAGGAATTGGGAATTCCAAAATTGGAACTTTCTCTGTTGTGGAGGAATCAATTAAAAAGAAAATTCTAAATTGGAAGAACAAGTTTCTTTCTTTTGTAGGTAAGGAAACTCTTTTGAAATCAATGTTGAGTGTCCTCCTCATTTATGCAATGTCTTGCTTTGTTCTACCTAAAGCTGCCAATAAGAAGTTGGCACAACACATTCTAACTTCTGGTGGAGCTCTGGTAACCCATTGGAAATCATGGAAGCTGCTCACATTGCCAAAGCACAAAGGTGAACTATGATTCATGGATATGCATTTTGATATAGGATATTATATACTCCAAGATAAACTGGTCCGCTGAATTGGTTTAGAGGGTCATACCATGAAGGAACCGAGTCAGACGAGGAGAAGATCGAGCAAAATAACTTGTCGACCAGCCAAACAGTCGACCAATCCATCGCTCGACCAAACAAACGATCGAGCAATCTTATCGACCTCAGTAGGTCGAGCATCTCGCGGACTCAACACTCAACAGATCGGCCTAGTCATAGGCGCGTGTAAGAGCTTCCAACTGAATTCCAGGAGAATATTTACCCCATGTGCAGGAGGACACGTGTCGAGAATGTATTGGGTGATAGCGATAACCACCTCTGACAGCTCCCAACGCCCTGCGCCACCTCTGACATGTGCGCGGCGTGTCAGAGTACGGACGGACAACTTGGGCAGCCAACTCATCCTTATCCGGGCAGCTATTAGGGCAGGTATCTCACCCCTATATAAAGGGGGTGAGCCTTTCTCCCTTAACGCACATTCTTTTCATTCTTCACTTCAGTATACTCATACACATACTGACTTAAGCATCGGAGGCTCTTCACCGGACACAACCCCCGGTGTGAGAGTTACTTGCAGATTTTCGGCGTTCTACCGGCGAGGGCAAAGATCGATCCGTTCCAAACCGGACCAGGACGCTCACACTTGCATTATTGGCGCCGTCTGTGGGAATTTTCGTTGAAAAGTTGTGTTTGAAGCTCAGCTATGGCGGACGGAATTCCCAAAAACTTGCAGTCAACGTTCGACGAAGCTTGGACGACGACCAGGCCGTTGGGGCAAGGCCCTCC